GTGTCTATGTTTTTAAAGTGAAGATAATTCAAGGGAGTCCTTATTAGCCCAGAATTTATTCCACAACTCCAAAATTAGGGGGGGGGGGGGGAGACGGAGAGACGAATGTCATAATATAAAAATGTTCATTAGTAAGCTATTTTTTATAACTGTCCATGAAGTCTGCCTGCAGTCAACATTAGGCAAAACAACACAAATGAAATGAAAACTTAAAAGTAAAATCACAAATTTTGCACAAAAAAAAAAGGATTAATCAAATTGGCAATGGATTATTGCTGAATTTTTTTTAACTTTGATACTGATGGGTTCATAGAGTTCATTTTATTGTCTTCCTTTGTGTATGCTTGACAGTTTCCATAACAGAAAAACATGTCTAAGCAAAAAACAAAAAGAATATTAGAAAGCTGTTCAAATCATATATATTGACAAATGAGATTCTCGCAGAAACACAGTTAACTACTGAAAGCTAATAAGGTGTTTTGAAAGAATGATTAAGAGAGGTCCGTGGAAAAAGGGAAAGGCTCCAAGTATGACACTGCTATGAAAATCAAATGTGTGCATGCGTAGGGATAGGGGTATGCCAACCAATTAACACGTCTCTCTCACATATATGTTTTTCTCTCTCAACGTATCTCCCTCTCCTACTCTCTAAAAATCAATGGAAAAATATCTTCCAGAGAGCATTTTTAAAAAATAAAAAAATAAAGTGTTAATTTTTAAAAAATCTAATGTGAAAGATACTCATTGTGTGTATTATTAGACAACTTTATCAGAAAAATTCATGTCCCCAAAATCACTTAATTCACTTATTTTGTTCTTTTCTTTGGAAAAACAGCTTTCTCACTACAAAGAAATTTTGGTTCCCATTTTGAGTGTGGCCATTTAATAAAAACAAATCTTTTCTACTACTTTCTCCAACTGTTTTTCACTGACAAATATGGTAATCTGTCAAGATTTCAAGATTCTTTTACAACAAAAAAGCGTTTGTATTTATTGTAATTTCAATACTCAAACATTAGATACCCTATTAAGTACAGCATGTTACTAGGCAACTGAGATTCAGTGGATAGCATTTCTACTTTCTTCCCCAACAGAGATAGTATGAACTTGGGCACTCCAGTGTTCACATTATTACTTTCCACAAGAGGCAGTCACAGTTTATTTGATAACTCATATCTTGACTAAATGTAATACATTTGTGGTTTCAAATGGGACAATCCAATTCTTGTCCAGGAGGAAGACTACAGACTGTTCTTAATAATAAAACAAGGGAACTACAGTTTCATTAACAAATGAAATGATTCCTCAGTATAATACAGTAATTTCATTGTAAAACAGCGAACATAACATTTTATTATAACAAACAAGACATCTAAATTTGCTTCGTAATACACCAAGCCCACTTCACTAAAATAAAACTTCTGTGAAAGAAAGAACCAATCATGAATGGAGTAAGCTTGTAGGAAATAGTAGCCCATTCACTAATTGTTCCTCCTTTTGCCCTTCCTTCAGGCCAAATGAAAGTAACAGAGAGCTAGCTGGAAAGGCCCTTAGAGACTAACTAGTCCAGTGATTTTTACTTTTCTTTCTTTACAAACCGTATGTTTTGGTGCTCTAAGTAGACACCAGGGATTCAATGAAGGGTTACAAAGAAAAGAAAAAAAAAAATAAGTGTGGTTTTATTTGGCCTGAGGAATCCAAATCTGTGCTTAAGATTTTGCTTAAGACAACTGCTAGATATTAAGTTTGAAACATCACTAGTAATCTAAACTCCCAGTTTCCAAAAGAGGACTCTAAAGCTTAACGAGGTGAGGCAAGACTGAGATGATAATGTTGGTGGCAAAGCCGGTACAGATAACCTGAGGTCTTAGGACTAGACCTCAGTCTCTCTCATGAAAGGTCCAGAAGGGCAAGGGGGAAAAGGCAAGTTTCAAGCTTACCTTTCTTCAATTCCATTCTCTACACTGGCCATACCAGGAATCACCAATACCTTCCACTCAGCGTCCGAGCTATCTTTCCTATCGTTCTCCAAAGACCACCAAACTAGTGTGTGCCTCTGTTTCCTCACTTCTTAGAAAATGGCCCTGTGACAGGTTATGCCACATGATCTCTCTTCAACAGGTTCTGATACTTTAAACTGTATACAAGGAGTTGTGTCATATTACAGGACCAATTTTTTAAATACACATAAGTAAGCTTTCTGAGATGCTAAACAGACCCAGAAGTCTGGAAATGGACTGAAACAGAATTACAATAACCACTAAAATGAGGTAAAAAGTAAAAAAAAAAAAAAAAAGAGAGAGAGAGAGAGAGAGAGAGAGAGAGAGAGAGAGAGAGAGAGAGAGAGCGAGCGCCTGAGTGCCTCTCAAACCAGAACTCTGCCCCACCCAGGTCTGTGATGGCTAGATTAGGGGTGTACACTCTGGTCAGGGACCCACTCCCAGTGCCTCTGAACAGCACTGACATTCAGGTCTTCTTCAGGAAGGTACTTGATACTTCACAAACTGCTCACTGCCCTTGGAGTAAGATACACACTGGCTTATTTGAAGCTCTACAGGATAAGCCTTTAACAAGATTTTTAAACCAATCTTTTCAATCAATCCACAAAGATTGAGCAGGCCCCAAAAAGTAGAACGTAGAAGTTCCCTTCAGATAAAAAATATCAAAAAGTTACAGAGCACTGTTTCTCAGGATTTATTTAATTCTTCCAAGAATACTGAAACACATGATTAAAATAACTTTGCATAGTCACAGAGCTAGTGGGAGAAATTAATTTTATTTTCATTACTACTTTCCACTCTTCTACAAAGTATTAAATATGATCACTACTCAGCTATGTCACAGGTTCTGGCATCATTTAGATGTAAACTTGTGCAACACATACAAGGCTTAATAAACAAGCACAGATATAAACAGGTCACCTTTAACATGACTTAAGGGGGGGGGGGGGGGAATTCACCCAAGATCACAACATGTCCCACCAAGTTCAAAATGTCTCAAAGTGAAATCCCAAGAATCAATTTTCAGCATTTAACCACTGTCTCAAAATAAAATTCTGATAGCATTTCTTGCTGGTAATTTAGATATAAACGGTTTCAGGTTCATAGGTTATTAAGCCATATAATTGCAATCTTGCCCTAAACACCAAGGACTGTGTCCGATGTATTTCTAGCCTTTCCTAGGTAAAAGCTACTTATACCTAAATAAGCCAAAAATAATAAAACCTTAGATGATAATTTGCCAAGTTTAGTAACAGTAAATGTCAGAAAACAATGCTTCACTATGTGTGTGTAGGTTCTAGATTCAGAAATCCAAATTAGACATGCATTCACACAGTAGTATATTTATATACTGTGCATTTAAAAGGAGTTGTTTGTGTACCCCAAATGGTTCTTCTCTGGCAAATCTAATCCGAATGATTAAAGTGAGGAATTACTGGAACTGACAGAGTAACGATTTTTACTGTGCCTGAGTCACAAACAGCTAGGAGGTGCACTTGAAAAATCACATTAATTTATAAAGCATTCTTCTATTTTGACTAAAAGTGGTTCTTCTCCAAGTTGAGTCCCCGCCTCCATTCCCCCACCCCCCTTCCTAAGGATCTGAACACCATAAACTTGACTCTCCAAGCAAAATGAGAGCTGTTAACCTTGACATTTTATGGTCACTCTTTGAAAAGAGCAACTTAAGTGTTTTATTTTTTGCTTTTTAATTAAAAAGGTAATTACTCCCACCACCACCACCACTACTTGAAGTGGATGGGAGAAATTTGTCAGAGACTCCCTAACAACAGTCAGAATCCTGGGAGGAAATGTAAAAAACTATTTCATTACAAAAACCTGAGTCATTACCCAGTTCACTCGGCAGATTTGGATAAACAGCGGATAAGTGACATGTCTTATGTGCTCCACCATTCACACCCCCCAATGCACGAACACGCAATGGTTACCAGATTTCGTGTCCAGTTAACTAAACAAGACGCAGCCAAATCCCTTTTAAAAACTCTTTCTGCCACAGTGTAGACGCCCACCTAGCAAATACAGGTCTCTAACCTGCCTCCAGCAACTGTCTTTTACCCCTGTTCCCCTAATTTGCTTGCACTCTTAGGTCGCAGCCAGGTGATGCCAAAAAAAGAAACAAATAAAAAGTAACAAAAGAACAGAACTCCTGAAACTGATTTCGGCAATCAATCTTCTCACACGCCCGATCGCAGTACCTTCCAGGACAGCCTGACAGCTCTCTCCTCCATCTACCTTGCTCATCAGCATCGTCCATGCCCAAGCAGGAGCAAAAGACAACTCCCCCCACCCCCCCTCCAAGTCCTGAGCCTCGCCATTCTCGACACCAACGTCCAGGAGACAGCCCACACGTGTGCCAAGAGGGCTGGTGTTAAACCAGCCTTTTCCACCAAACCCACAGAGATCGAGCAGCCTCCCCCCTCCCCCCCCCCCCAAAAAAAGTAGAACTAGAAGTTCCCTTCGGTCTCCTTCCCATTCAGAAAGTGACCAGACGCGAAAGCAGAGCTAGGAAGCGGCGGCGACCCCAGGGGGAGGGAGGGGAAGAAACAACCGGAGGAACGAGAAGTCAAAGAGCTGCTCCCCCCAAGGACGAGTCCTCCTTGCACCCCTTCCCACACAGGAGGAGGGAGCACAAGTCCGAGGAGCAAACACCTTTGGGGGAACCGCTGCTCCCTTTCCCCGGGGACCCCCGCAGGGAGGGGGAGAGCAGGCAGGGAAGGACGAGACCAGGAGGGCTGGTGAGAACGAAGCTGGTGAGTTGTCCCGCAGGAAAGTGGCCGGGAGGAGGGCCGAGTGGCTGTCCCGGGCTGCGGTGGCGATGGCAGCGGGGGGACCCCCCCCCCCCAAGCTCGAGAGCTCCCCGCAGAGCTGGTCCAGCCAGCAGCCACCGGGAGCGGACAAAGAGCCGCCGCCGCCGCCGCCCGGGGACGCCCTGCCGGAGCCCCGGCCCCTCGCCCACCCCGCAGGCCCAGCCGCACTTACGTGGAGAGTTTCCGGGTCCAGAAGAGGCCCCCGGGCCACAGCTCCTGCAGCTGCACGGCCCGGCCCAGGTTGCTTTTGATCTGGGCCAGCTGCAGGTCGGACTCGGCGTCCAGGCGCTCGGCGTAGGGCAGCAGCTTGTTGTAGACGATCTCCTTCTGCGGGACGAAGCACCGCGGCGGGCCCGGGCCGGGGCGCCCGCCCGGCTCCGGGGGGTCCCCGCCGCCCGCCCGCTCCGCCGGCTCCATGAGCCGGGGGGACACCCGCCGCCCGCCCCCTCGGCCCGCCCGCGCCCTCCCGGGCCCCCACCCCTCTCCGGGCTCCGCCTCCTCCGCGGCGGCGGCGGCGGCGTCGTCGCCCTGCGGCCGCCGGCGGCCCGTCGCCCCTCGGCCCGACCGCTGGACCCCCTCGCCCGGCCGGCGCGCCTGCTGACCCCGCGCGCGCGCTCCCGGTTCGTTGGCGGCGCGGCAGCGGCCGCTCTGCTCGGCCCGCACCGGCTCGGCTGGTGACGCTGCAGCCGCCGGACGGAGCTTCCGGACGCGCCGCAAGTCACTTCCGGGGCGGGGCGACGGCCGAGGGGGCGGAGGGGACGGTGGCGGCTCCTGGGCGGGAGCCGGGGCGGGGGGCCGCGCCTTCCTCCGGTGGGCCCGGCTCGGAGCCCCCACCCTGCCTCCGGCCTCACCGGCCGAGCGCCCGGCCGCCCCACCGGAAGCGCGAGGCCGAGTTCCAAGCCATTGTTGTCCCTTCGGGCCCGGGCTGCGCGCTCCCTCCCGCCGCCGCCGCCGCCTCCCCGGAGCCGCAGGGGCCAGGCAGCGGGCTGTCTTCCGCGCCGCGTTCCCCCCACTTACTTATAGGTGTGTTTTTTTGGTTTTTTTTTTGTTTGTTTGCTTGTTTTTTGGTTTATTCTGACCCCTTGAACCCCTCATCTTCAGCCACCCTCATCTTCAGCCACCCTTATGCCAAAGAAGGGACTAGTTATTCATTCAACAAATAGTCCTTGGACTACGGGGTGTGCCAAATGCTTCTATTTGACCTTTAAGATGGAACTAAAGAGCTCCAGGTGTCTGCCCTGCAGGGATGTAGTCTGGCAGAGCTATAGCCCAGGGAATAAGCAATTACAGCACAATACTGGTAATTGCTAGATAAGTACGGGATGCCTCGGGGAACACCCGAAGAGCTGTTCAAACTGGGGTGGAGTGGGGTGAGGTTTGGGGGTGTCAGGTCCGTTAGTAGAGCGGATACATATGTTGGATGGAAGGGTTAATGCAGAGATGGTTAGGAAAAGAAGGGAGAACTCTATGTTTGATCCAAGGGGACAGCTCTGTGGCCTCAAGTTTGCACTCTAGGAATTCAGAATAGTCCATGGCAAGGGAAGGGAGTGGAGAATTGAGGCCGTGGAGGAACTGTTAGGGATTCAAGAAAGTCTGGAAGATTTTAGTCGTAGGGGTGGTATGATGTTATTTACATTTTTTGAAGAATCACTCTGAATGAGAAGGATTTAGAACAGACCAGGTTGGGTACTGGAGGACATCTTCAGATGTGACACGATGGCCTGGATGTCAATTGAGATGATTTGAGAGCCATTTCAGCAAGTAGAAAGGCCTGGGCTTGATAGCGGTTTAAACATTATGGGTTAGGTAGAGGGAAGAGACAGGAGTACTGGCTTGGGAAGCCAGGCAAAGAGAGAAGCCTTTTCCTGAGAGGACCCGGAAGAAACAGCTTTGGAGGCAGAATGCCTAAGGGATGGTTAAGTATTTTGACATAATGGATGAGGAGGGTGATCTAAACTGGGATTAGCTTATACATGAATTGGAAGCAATGAGATGCAGAGTATTGTTAAAGGTTAAACAGGCATATTAAAATTTTGAAGAGTTTATTTGAGCAACAATCTTTTAAATTTGTATTAATTGATTTGAGAGGAAGGGGAGAGAGGTAGAAAAACATGGAGTTTTTCTATGTTGCTCCATTTCTTGATGCATTCATTAGTTGACTCTTACATGTGCCCTCCCCAGAGATTGAATCCACAACCTTAGTGTGATGGGACAATTCTCTCACCAATTTAGCTACCTGACCAGGGTCTATCTGAGCAGCAATTGATTCCAGTTGGGCAGTGCCAAACCTGGAGTGACATGAGCCAGCTAGGGCAAAGACAGTAGAGGTGTTGAAGCCAATAAAGGAAACTATTTGATTGGCTACAGTTTAAGCCTAGTGGGCTGTTTGTGATTGTCCTTGGTATTTAGATTTCATAACCTTGAGCCACACCTAGGTTTTGCTTTGCTTACGTAGGCTGCCAGAGCATTAGAGCCACCTCTATCTAATGATCTCCTTGTTTAATTAATGTAAAGAATAGAATCCTTGACCAAATACTGAGGAACTCAGGGCTTGAGAGAGAAAAAGGAGAGGCCATGAAGAGTGCCCAAGAAGCCAGGCCCGGAACAGCTCGCTCCTCGCCTGCCCCTGCCCCACGGCTGCCTCTCAGACATGGCTGGAAACTTTCGTGGGAACTTGAGGGTCTGCTGAATCAAGTGATGAAGGCTTAGATCTGGATGTGTTGAGTTAGTATAGGGCTGGGGTGTTGATCTGTGAGTGCCTTGGGTGGGGCCTGGATGAGGCTAGTTGACCTATTGGGAAATGTCTTGTGTGAAGTGTATCATCGGGCATGTGGAGGTATTATTGATATGAGAAAATGCTAAGTAACTGATTTACTATCTGAAAAGGGATTTACTATCGGGGGAAAGGAAGGGAAGAAGAGACTGAACATAAACTGTGCACCTATGGATGAGGACAATGGGGGATGGGGAGGGGGCGGAGGGTGGGGAGGGAACCTGTGGAGGGGGGAAGAAATAAGGAACCTTTGTAATAATATGAACAATAAAGATTGATTTAAAAAAAAAAAAAAGAGTGCCCAAGAAGCAGTGGGAGCGATAGGAGAAGGTCTAGGAAAGTGGCATTCCTGTGAACAGTGTTTGAGATGGAAGAAATGATTAACCCCACAAAAGGTCCTGATGGGTCAACTGGAATGAGAACTGAGAAGGGTTCCTTGGAATTACTGATAAAACAGCTAAGAAGAGTTTCAGTGGGCCAGCCAGCATAGCTCAGAGATTGAGCATTGATCAAGAAGTCACGGTTCAATTCCTGGTCAGAGCACATGCCCGTGTTGTGGGCTGGATCCCCAGATTGTGGGCTTGATCCCCAGTTGCGTGAAGGAGGCAGCTGATCAATGATTGTCTCATCATTGATGTTTTGATCTCTTCCTCTCCCTTTATCTCTGAAATCAATATATATATATATATATATATATATATATATATATATATATATATATATTAAATGAATAATTTCAGTGGAGTTAGGAATGGAAACCAGGTTACAATGACAATGGAAAACTGGAAGAACTGGTAAACAAATAGAGACAGCAAATATGGATTGTGTTTTTAAAAAACTTGGGGGTGAGTGGGACTTCACTGGTGTTGCTCAATGGTGAGCATTGACCCAGGAACCAAGAAGTCACTGGTTTGATTCCAGGTCAGGGAACACACCCAGGTTTTGGGCTAGATCCAGGGAACATGCAGGCAGCAGTGGATCGATGATGTTTCTCTCTCATTGATGTTTCTCTCTATCCTCCCTTCCTCTCTCTAAAAATCAATAGAATATTTTTTTAAAAAAAAACTTAAAGAAGAACAAGAAAGAGATAAGGAGTTAGCTAAAATAAAAAAAGGAAATTTTGAAGGTGGGCTATATTTAAATGTTTAAATATTGACTAGAAGTAGCCAGTGGAGAGAGAGGTTGAAGATAGGTGAGTGAAGATGACAGAGAATGGAAGAGAATGTGGAGTCTGGCCCTTCGTAGTTATCCAGTTTACTTCCAGAGCCGGAGGAGAAAAGCAAGGAAGGGAGGTGCAAATTCAGAAAAGTTTATAGATTTGGTAGCTATAAGCTGTAAGTTGTAGAAGTTCTTTCCAATGGTTCCTCTTTTTGGTATATGTGTGTGTGTGTCGGGGGAGGGGGGGGTGTTGTTGTTTTATATTTTGTTTTCTGTGAAACAAGAGAAGGAGAATGGGTAGGAGATTGAGGGAGGTTTAGAGTAGTCTCAAAATTCAAAAAACGAATTAGAATGATTTGACACTGAAGGTTGGAAGTATAATATACCATCATCTGTCTGCGCAATATAGTGGTTTTCTCCAATAATGTTTAACAACCCAGGTTGAGTACCTACAGGCTGGTTTGATAGAATGACAGAGGAGTAAGGGAATGTTATGTATGCTGGTGGTGGTGAAGGCAGTGGTGTTAGTTACCATTTGCTGAGCACTTCTCTCACCAGTGCTTTACTTACATGATCTCATTGGATTATCTTCTCTAAATAGGGATAATTGAGAATATTTTAAAAGTATTTTTTAAATATATTTTATTGATTTTTTTACAGTGAGGAAGAGAGAGGGATAGAGAGTTAGAAACATCGACGAGAGAGAATCATCGATCAGCTGCCTCTTGCACACCCCCTACTGGGGATGTGCCCGCAACCAAGGTACAAGCCCTTGACCGGAATCGAACCTGGGACCTTTCGGTCCGCAGGCTGACACTCTATCCATTGAGCCAAACCGGTTTCAGCTGAGTTGAGAATATTTGATAGTGGTTAACATCCTTCTACCCCTTTAAGTTATTCTGGCTGGTCTAATAATCAAATTGGTATGAGAACGATTAACAGGAGAGAATGACCACATTTTTAGGTATGTACTTATGGAATTCCTTAAGAATGTGGGACCCAAAGACAAATTGGGCAGTTGAGGTTTATATGCCATTCTGGAGTAGGGGAGGAGGCCTTCAGGAGGTGGTTAGGGTTGTGGTTTGAGGCTTCAAAGGAGAAGGCAATTCACATGGAGATGGAAAAGCAAATGTTTGGTAAACACCTGTTTGCTGGACCATCTTTAACAATGGGACACAGAGAGGACTTTGATTAAAGACTTGGCTAGGTTCTTATCTGTCTATCACACTTAATTCAGATTAAACTATAGTTATCTATAATAATATCTCTCTTCCCGGAGCAGGTCCTCTACTAAATTTTTTTAGGTAGTTAGTGGGGGAAGGTCAAAGATTCTTCTGGAGTCTTGTTTCTTAAAAAAATGATCAGCTTAAAAAATCAATACACTAAAAGAGGTGTATTGGGTGGCAGACTGTTTCTCACCAAGTCAAAGTGAAGAAAGAAAAGGACAGGTAGGCAGAGAGTGTAGAAGTCAAGGGACTCAGATCCT